CATTTCAAATGACAATAACAAACTCATTTTATTAAATATTCTATTGAAATTAGGAATATGTTCACAGAAATATACAGTATGTCTAATTCACATTAATTACATATCTGAATTATATTAGAATTCGAACATAAATGGCTTCCAGCGGAAAGCGAGGGGGTTAAGCTCTCTTCGAGGAACCAGCGATGACGCACGAAAATGATGTCGGGACACAGGTCAACATGTGTGTTTGTTTGTTAATTAGTTAAATGCATAAGAATATGTATCAATGCATTTCTACATTTAGATAGATTTATTTATCTAGTGTTATCTTTATAAACAGTTTAGATTATTCTACTTTATTCATATTCCCCTATTAACTGAGGAAATTACCCTATTATTTCACTGTTAGGTCGTTTACATGTGTTCGTACATTAAGAGTTACCCCTTATGAGCAATGGAATCGACCTCAAACATGCTTATTATTATGCAAGTGTTACCCATGATTCCTACTCTCGATGGATATGGCGGTCATCAATGGAGTCCACATTTGAATTTAGTTCATAGTTTTTCAAGTTATTCACTTATTTGCCCCTCATCAAGGGCACTCACAGTTTTAATACAGAAGTTTGTACTACTGCTGTAATTACTGGTTGAAATGTTCAGCGTTCTACCCATGAATAAAGAAGTCATTACGATTTTCGTTTGAACTCGATCATTTGAGTCTACTGTATGTTCTGTGGAGATTTATTAAACGTGGCGATTTATTCGAACCGAATTCACACAGCCACAAATGACAGACTGCCGATGTAACGTCATGTTACAGCAACCGAGCAAACTCGTATTTTACTGACCGCTTTCTGGCGATGCTTGTTCTAATCGGTAACGAAATCTGGTCATCAGCGAAACCTATTCAGATATGTGGTACATATAGATGTACTCCAGCAACCGTAATTAAAAGCGACGGAAGCCTAATATATGATGAGATTTTAATCACATTGATGCAACACATACACATGCATTTGTGACAACATTACTGAATACTTGTATTGCTGGGAAACGCGGGGCGAAAATATTCGATATTCAAGAACGCAGGTCGTTTGGACGCTTTGTTTACGTCGCATGGAACACGAAATGAAACACGAAGCGGCGCGGCAAATTGGTGCTGCAATACGATGTTCTTACCTTGTTCGTTGCCCTGGCCAGCTGCCGTGGCAGTTTTCTTAACCACTATGTACATGACAACATATCCAACAAATATCATAATGAAAGATATCAAATTGATACCCAGGAACAATACTACCGAATATTCCCAGCCAGGGCGATGATCGTTTGTAAGATGAAGTCCCAAACACACGCCTGATCTTGCGTAGTATTCGTCTCCAAAATACTCTATTCCGGTAAGAGGCAGACAGCTCAAGATGACAACAACAAGCCATGCCGTCGCCATAACTACCGCAGCTTTCTGGAAACTGATTCGTCGAAAACGAAACGGAAATACAATAGACATGAAACGGTCAAAGGTTATGAACGTAAGGGTAAAGACCGACACTTCGCTAGACAATGTAGCCAGAAAGCCAGCTAATTTGCATAAGCGGCTATGTCGCCATATTTCATCATAGATGATATAGTCTCCCCTGTAATACATGTCGACAGCTGCAATGATTAGCATATAAACACCCATGCAGAAATCAGATAGACTGAGGTTCCAAATTAAGAATGCATGAACTTGTTTGATGTCTCGACTCTTTAGTCGCCACATTATCACGAATAGGTTTCCGACAAACGCCATAAAGCCTAACACCCAAATTGAAATGCGTAGAATCTCATTGGCCATCAGGTCGTCACATGATGAAAATTCACTCGCTGGCGGTGTGCATAGTTCCAGAGGGGCGTTCCTATCCTTCTGCGCCATACAGCAATATCTGTATTTGTCTGTGTACCTATGAACAAGTATAAAACAATATGTTGGTCTTACGTGACAGTTATTCATTCGTTTGGAAGAATAATGTCGTTACATTTATTACCAATTGTTAAGCACCGAAAGATTTTCCAGTTTTTTCACCCAATACAAATTTGAAAATGTTCTTACGTACATGCATATTAATGCAAATCACTGAATACTTGCTCAGAGGAAACCTTAAATAAATTTTCTTCAAGAAGTCTGTAAGTAGAAACTATAGTGCATTGGGCCTAGTTGCATACGCGCCATACAAGGTGTATATTTAAATGTTTTACATGTCCATACTTTCTATGCTCATATAATATGATGTTCAAGCTGAGTAGGGTAGAAATGCACTATACATAATTTGATGTGTTTTTCTAGCAAAAACCAGGAGTTAAGAATAGGAATTAATAATGTCTTCATACAGTTTTTTCACATTTCCCAGGCCTAAGAATGCTTCGTCGTCGATAAATGTTATGCCAGTGTTCGTCAGGTTCCTACATAAGAAATATATGCAAAATGTATGACGTCATATTGTGATATTGTGATTTACAGAATGATATAGTTAATTACCTCTTATATCACGACAGTTTAGTGTAATAAAGACAGAGTAATAATCTATATACTGCGTGATATCCATCCCGGCAATCTGATTGGTCCATGCAAATAGATTGACCTTTTGATATTATAATTGACTAAGGTGGTTTTACGTTGTCATTCTTGAATTATAGTTATAATATTTATATGATATCTATATTATTATTATTATTATTATTACTTTGAATATTTCTAATAGTATCAATTACAACGAATGTGTATGGTTGAGACGTTACACTTCTCCCAACTTCAAATTCTCCGGGCAAGGAAACATGTTTCACCAATGTCCAGTGATGATTTCTCACGACCCGTGTTAAGGCCAGTTTATCCAAAATTTAGTTATTATGTAACCAATCTCTCAAAACGTAAATGTAGTAACGGCAGCAAAAATAACATTTTTTAATCGCAATAGTTTAGTAGGTAAACGTAATCGGTGTTCATAAACGGCAATCTTTTATTCATTTGACACAGAATTCTATATAATGAATTCAGTCATTGTGTTTTTAACATTCAGAAACTACAAAACGGATATACGGCATAATTTGGTTATCAAATCATCGTGATCTTACATTTTCATATTTATTACCCCCGCAAGGACACAAAAAGTTACTACAATAGAATAATATATCTGACACCAACGGTCACTTATGAGCTATCCTCTATTTTATTTGCAAGAACATGTAATAATAAGTAATGATAACTAAATATCGTATATAATTACATCGTAAAAAGAGTAATTTGCTCAATATATGCAATTGCTTACAGTGATGACAAAGACGGAAGTCCCAGAAACATCTGTCGATCAATACGTTCAATATTCATTCCAGACAGATCCCTGAAATTAAGTATGATGTACAGAACAATAAAATATATTAGATAATTATCGTAGCATTTGTCATTTGCAACAGCGGCCTCAGATTCCTTATGTTAACTATAAGTATATTAATAACATCATACAAATATTTGTCACTTACAATGAAGGTAATAAGTCTAATCCTTTGAAAGAACCAGGCTGTATGTACGTCAGTGGATTGTCTGTCAGAATTCTGTGAAAATAGAATTACGATTGCATGATTCACGTTTTCAGTGAAACATTCAATGCGCATATTAAACGTAACATAAGCGAATACGTATTATAATTGCATATATATTAATATCTTAAAATACTAACAAAGTTGTCAACGCTGTCATTCCGATAAAAGAACTGTCCTCTAACATATCCAGGTTGTTTTTTGCGAGGTTCCTATACAAAACGAAAATTTATTAAACATTTATTAAACATATTTTCATTTACAAAGATAGTTCCATCTATAACAACGCTGTCCACATACAGCACACGTCAATTTTCATAAAAGATATTAGTAGCGATATTATACGTTGTCAGGACATTAGAAAATTATTCCAATGGACGACCAACTGTATTATTGGAATGTTTTCGAGCTCATGATGAAAACGTAGTTTCGAGAATATAATTTGTCCTTTATTCTAAATCATGTGTCTTCACTTTGTATTGCATTTAACACTTACAGATAGTAGAGATTTGAAAGTCCCTGGAAAACTCCTCCCTCTAAACTAGATATATTGTTCGAAGAAATATCCCTGGTGAATAAATATTCATGAGATATAATAAAACAAACACATACGAGCAAAAACGACTGTAATTAAACAAAAATGTTTTAGTGAACATCTTTTCTACTCACAATTCCCCGAGAAGGACAAATCTGTCGAAGATTTTATGATGTAAATCAATCCGATTTCCATGAAGAGTTCTGAAAAATAAACAGTTTTGGAATGATCTGATTACACTAAACTGAGAATATCCCAAAAATCTCACTGTGCTACAGTACTATGTATTTATGTATATAGAACTGAATCACACTTTAGGGAAATCAATACGATTGAAATCAATTGGTTCTAATAACTGCAAATTTTGTAATTGGATTAACGTCTGTTTACGAAACACTTCCGCGAATGGAATGTACTGTATGACCTATTATTTAATAACAAGACATTCAAAACCTAAGTTAGCTTGTCAACCTAATATTAGGCTGAACAGCAATGGAAATACAGTCTACGTTACTCAAAAGGAAATGACTCAGTTGCATGACCTTCTTCTATACATGATTGCTTTACTAATACTTACTTAAGAATGTAGTAGATTTGTGTTGACACATGTACATCAAAATAAACTTTTACAGAATATGTATAGCTAATTGTTCTATTGAAATTCAGAGCTCTAACACGAATGGTACTTAACCCGTTGTTGCGATGTTGGGATTTTCCCATTCCCAAGTATTTAAATAATTAATAAATCACAACATCTTTATATGCTCACCTATCATATACTTTATAATTTACCGGACGTCAAAACATTGGACATAGTATACTTCATGATCATTTAAACAAATTTATAGTCATTCTACTATTCACCTATTTATTTGTAAATTAGTGTATGTCTTTATTCTAATTTTGACATAAAAGCACTCGGCAAGCACTTACCAGATCATTTCACTTTTTTTAAGATTTCAGATGTAATATGCACTGGTATTAAAATCATAGCGATTTTTGTCAAATTTACGCATTCTAAAGATTTCACTATCTGAATTTAACAATGAATTTTCTTATGAAAACACAAAAATAACAATTTTAAATAAAAAAAAATGTTACCCCAAATCGCTGTTATGTTTATGTTATCTTATCTTATATTACTTCTACATTTTACCTCTTAATTTCTGCATAGTACTCAGTTGAATCTTCAACAAAGAATTTGTTTACTTAGCAGTCACATGGCCACATTTTTAATAAGTTTGAATTATGAAATTTTGGAAAATATATCGTTTGATATTGTTGAAAACAAATTCAATGAAATAACAAGTAACCTGTAGAATGTTGTGTGGGTAATATTTTTATATTGATTTTTGTTGCATTTGCAGCAAATAGTTACCAAACAATGAGAAATCTATAGGATTGAATATACCTCTCAGCTGGCTTCACATGCATAGTTCAAGCCTGCCTAACCGGTGCTTACTTTTACCAGGATTCAGTTACAGCACCTAGACGGTCTGTGTTTACAGCTTCATGCTCTGAGTAATCGCAAGAAATGGACATGACAATAGAAATTCATGAAAGACTGGCATTCCCATGAAATTAACAGCGAGTGAAATTCCTGGGATTGAAACATATATTTTGAAGTCACTGATGTAGGCAATGAATAACTTCAAGTTGGCATCATAAAGACGAGGTAGTTTATTCAATCAACGCTCAACTAGAGGCTGAAATTATAATTAATTTGTTTATTTCAATTTCTTCTGAAGTCAAATAGAATACACTGGTGAAACACGGTAGTAATCGTGGGTGAAATGATGTTTTGGGGTGTAGTTTACATCGTGTATGGAGTGGTAGGGTCGGGTGGGTTCATTTCCAACTCTTATGAAGTCACGTAGAATTTCACTTAATTTATTTTTGCTGACATGTTTTCAAGCATTACATGTGAATCCAATTTTCACTGTGCTGTGTCTCAAAAGAGTATGAGGTAAATGGCATTTTCACTGGAATTTATTTCAGGGGGAAAATGTTTTCAGTGATAATGAAGTATTATGACAGAACCCCATACCCTCCCCGTGGCTTTCATTGCGTATGGAAGTTATTTTCACGAGTGGTGCGGCGTATCCTGCTGCCGTACTTTCACGAGCGAAGCCATGGGGAGGGTGTGGGGTTCTGTTATTATTACATATGTCCCATATTTGATTATTTCATATTACAGAAAGAACGTGCAACAAACCGGGATAAAAATTTAGGTCGGGGAACCCAATTGCCCGTTAATATGCTCCAAGACAGTGTTGCGACCTAGCAACGCGTGTCGCTGTCTGTGTGAAAATAAAATAATCAGACGTCTAATTTGAGTCATTGTCCGAATAAATAAATAAATGTTTAAGCGCGGTGGTCGTCGCGCAGCGCGTATTCGAATTTCATGTAAATAAACAATGTATTTTAAACGCGTTATATGCGTCGCTATGAGTTCCATATCGAACAGGATGTGGCACGACGACTGTCGCCCTTTAGTTGGGACCACGACAGAACCAGAACTTAAACTGGGCGACTACGATACACGGTTTGTGTTGAAGTTAAAAGTTCCTCCACAGATCTGTGCATTGGCAAACATGCCGTGGAACTGCGGTACTCCACTGACGGAATGACTTTCGAATGACATCGGTCGTCGCTGACTCGTGAGCCGCACACTACAACTTCGTTTGTGATGTTGCTTGCTGAACGTGGATAGACCGAGTCTTGGTTTCCGGTTAAATGTTGGCGTTTGTAATCTTTATTTGGAACTGAGTAACGCCGCAACGTTGCCAGCAGAAACCTCCTGGTATCTCGATGTTGATGGTTGCGGCTCCATAGTAATCGCTGATTTTACTGCGGGTCAAGGCTGCGGGTGGATCTTCCGAGAGCCCTTCAAGATTTATAAAACTCAGTTTCCAGGTGGTCAACAAACATTAAGTTCTCCCAATCCTAGTATTCTATGTGATTTACAGCTAACATGTCAAAATGAACGATTAGAACCTGACAAAAATAGCAGACGGAAATGTGTTTACAAAATAAAAATAGTTATTACTTGAAATAGATACCAGGAAGGGGAGGGGTAAAAGAAAAGTTATATAACATTTTATTATTCAATAATTTATTAAAATACATAAGTTTGTCCAACTTCCTGTGATACAACACCTCAGACATAGCTCATTGTACTCGGCTTGAGTGTGGGCATATAGTTACTATTTGAATTTTTGATATCTTTTTACATTAATGAGAAAGTTGACCCAAAAGGTAGAGTAACTGTTCAACAGGAATGGCTTTTTAACTCTTCTGTGATTTTTTTTGGCTTGGCTGATTTTGTTCATACTTGACAGGCAGGTCGTACCATCAATAATTGGAAAAACAATCCTGACACACCGCTACCATGGCAACAGCCAAAATCTGTTTTTTGAATACTTTCGCCCCAAATTTATTACCTCCTACCAGTCTTGTAATAACAGTGCCCAAATGATCATGCCTTTTATTCTGGCTACGTTGCGCACTGGCAAGAGATCACCGGTGCCGACATTGTTACACTGTCAACGTAATCCCGACGCAACTTTGAACTTTGAATAAAATGTAAATGATGCCTCCAATCTAGAAAATACTATCGCAAAACGGTTGGAAATAATACTTTTAACGGCTGAATACGTCATAGCAATAAAATAAAGTGACTTCTAAAGACTGAATGTTATTTTGCGAACCTCGTATAAGGTGCCCGGTTTTAGTTATAAGCCGACGTTAGCTTCACGTTCATGCCCTACCATGGTAACAGCCGAAAACATATTGCTTGTTTTTACCGGCTTGTTTTCATTGGCAACCGAAGTATTTTTATTTTGTAAACAAATTTTCGTCTGCCATTTTTATCCAGTTCAAATCGTTCAACATTTTTGGCATATTAGGTGTATATCACATGGAATACTACGATTGAAAGAACTTGATGTATGTTAACTGAGTTTTATCATAGTACGAAGTACCAGGAGGTTTCTTCTGGCGACGTTGCGGCGTTGTTACCCAGTTCCAAATAAAGATTACCAACGCCAAATGAGCAACATTTTAACTGGTAATCAAGATTCATTTAATCCATGGCTAACAAGCAACATCACAAGCGAAGTTGTAGCATGCAGTACTAGTAAGTCATCCCGTCAGTTGAGTACCGCAGTAGCACGGCATGTTTTCTTTCAGCAATGTATTCAAATGAATCACGTGGTGTGCCGTTCTCGTTCAAACCCGAGATTCGATCAATAGGGGAGTTTCAGTAAAAAAAAACACATTACAAATCATGCAAGTTCAACATTTTCAAACCAATATACTAAAACAGAAATGCTCAGAAATGTAAAAGAAGGATAGATATTACTTTTCACTATACACATCTCTGTTGATACTATCCCTCGCATATTCTACTCCCAATTACTCCTGCGTGAAATGGACTAGCCTCTTTT